TATGAGCCAGAACTGACTCCATGGCATACCACCTCCACCAATGCAGAACAAACTGGTCAATACCTTAGACTATATTATAAGGGTAAACAGTAACTTGATGTCTATGGGTTTAATCAGTTTAATCAGTCTAACTAGTACTTTGGAATGGTGGCTTTTAAAGGTCACAGAGCACCTTGAATGTTCTCTACGCTTATACAGCTGTTCAAGCTCACCAGTCACTCCTTGGAAACCCTATACAGCGTTGCTATGGGTCAGAATTGACTCAATGGCACTTAACAACAACAACTAGAGTCAGTGTGTATTTCCAGGGAGATGTAGAAATGGCGGGGTTTAGGGAAGGTGGCGGAGAAAACTTAGAGACCACATGAGAAAGACAGTACCCTTTCTGGCAGCACTAGTTTTAGTGAAGATTGGTAAAGAACACTTTTATTTGAAAACAAACAAGTTTTATTATGGAGAGTGCAAAATTCACTTACATTTTTAAGACAGAACATGAGATTTTCTATTAGCAGTGGGCTACTTCTGAAAAGGGCCTCAGGGCCCCTTTCCTCTACACATTCCGGCTCCTCTGCTTTAGAGTCACGCTGGTAGAAAAACTTGAGAAGCAAACTAGATAGGTTGCTTCACTTCCCCTTGGACACTTTACTCCTCGTTCTTGGAGGTTCTCTCTTTTAAGTCCGAAGTCTTTAATTAACAGGAAAGAGATCAGATGAATTTTAATGAATTTAACAGTATGTGATGAATATTTTAAAGTAACTAATAGTCAACACTAAAGATTTTCCTTTAACTTTGTTTCCAACTAGAATTAAGTTATGCTGTATAAAGTCAGACATTGAGTGATTCTCTTCTTTCTACTTAGCCATCTTACAGCATATGGTGAGATGTTCTGAGTGACAAGTGTGAAAAAAATTTCCTTAAGCCTGGTGCTTTCAGTGAACAAGGTACAAGGAAACCTGAAATAAAAGCTAGCTCCACTGACCATTCATTTTGAATACTATGACTCTTTCCTCATCAGTTTCTACAGCAATTTCAGAAAACAAGCGGACTATAAAAGGCCATAATAAGTTAACATATAGGAGTAGTAAAACAGATCAAAATAGGTTATGAAAGAAGATTTAAAATTACTTTTTACAATAAGTCTAAAAAATATTCTGACAATAACAAAATAACCAACAGTCCATAAACAAATGCAGTTTGTAAATACATTTAAAGCATTCTGAATAAATACAGTTAAGATTTATCAGTGAGGTAATAAGACAATAGCTTTTCACAGTAACAAAATATGGGAGGGTGCCTAGGAAAACAGGGAGGTAGAGAGAAAATGGCAAAAAATTAAATGTATCCAAGTGGAATTTGGATTTTTCAAGCATCACAAACATCAAGAAACATCAGAAAGAAACACGAACAGCAGCAGTTCATAGAACAAATTTCCACTAAACCTCCAGCTATCTTTGTTGTATCAATTCTAGGAGGTCAATTTCCTATATGAAGACATCCCAAAGTATTTAATTTCTCAGAACCTCTAAGTCTGTTGAAGTTACTACAGCCAAATAATACTTTATATTTAAAACAGAAACCTCAAATGTCCTACTATGCTATACATTCCTCAAGATGAACAAAATTGTGTTCAAGTCTTAGAATTCACCACGTTAAATGAAAAATAACATTCCAGCAAGACTTTATTCATTGCACTCATGCATTGCACTACTCAAAATGAAACAGAAACAATTTGGGGGAGCTGCATTCTTCTAGTTATGGAGCAAAACCCAAAACATTACTTCCAGTGCTCTCTGCATCATCTTTGTTTAAGCCGAAGGTTTTCAAAATGTTGAAAAGAAAATTATAAAGTAATTTGTTGTTGTTGTTGTTGTTAAGTGCCATCCAGCAGGTTTCAACTCATAGCAACCCTATATAGGGTTTCAAAAAAGAAACTGGTGGATTTTAACTGTTGACCTTACGGTTCGCTGATCCTACAGCACCACAATAGGAGTCCTTTAGTATCCCTCAACATTTAAAAATTTGATTTCCTTAAAAATAATTTAAAGTAAAAAAGATTTCAAATAGAAGATTCATGACAATTCCTGTTCTAGGCATTTTAAACCTGAACTTAAACTTTTGGTGCTGCTTTTTTTAAAAAAAATTAAAATGTCAGATCCCTACTCTTCTAGTCCTTGTTCTATTCTCCAGTGCATAGCATTTTGTTATATTGCTCTGATTTTGAGTTCGTCAATAAAAGACCCAATTAATAATTTGAGACTTATTAAAATATTGCAACAGCATTCTCTTCATCAGTTAAATTATCTTAATTCCTTAAGTTTTATTCCTATTTATTTCTGTTATATCCCCTCTCGAGTTCTCATATGATCCTAAGACATAATATCCTCGTATGAACTGAATGAGTAAAAGGAGAACAGTACTTTTTTTCACCTCCTAAAATTTGGCCTTTTTCAGTGATCATTGGTGCTGTAGGATAATAGCAAGGTTGTACGTTCAAACCCACCAGTGGCTCTGCAGGAAAAAGATGAGACTGTCTGCTCCTATAAAGTTTACAGTGTTTGAAATCCTCTCTAGGGTCGCTGTGAGTCAGAAATGACTTGATGGAAGTGGGTGTGTTTTTTATTTCTTTTTTATTAATAAAGGAAAACAATAGGCTTACTACCCACTCATCATAACAAATCACAACAAGTAAACAACTTACACTCAGTTTATTCCCTATTCTTAGGGAGACAGGTTTGCCCTCCACAAGAAGTATTTCCTGTTGCTTTACTGATCTTCCTACTGTTTATCTCATTAATTCTTTCCTTTTCCTCAAAGCTCTAGAAAATCCCAGTTTTGTTCTATATACTCAATAAGGAAGCATTTTCATGATATTGTTAATGTTGAAAAGAAGAAGAAATGCAGAGCCTGAGACTGATACTTACCTGTCAGCACTTCTGTCTCTCCTGGCTGTCTTGGATGGTCACCGAGTCTAGCCTCATAGACAGTAGCATCCACTGTGTCAAATTCCTGTTAAAGAACCATGCTCAGACAGACTCAAGAGCTTGGCCAGAATCAAGTGATTCCTTCAATCTATCACTTTGGGAATATTTGTAAGCATTTGCTCATTTTAACTTTGAACTTTTTAATTTTAAAAATAATATCCAAAGCTTCAAAAACTTTTTACCTTGATTGTTGATGTTGTGTGCGATAGAGTTGGTTCTCATAACTACCAGTATAGGGTTCCTGGAAAATGGCTTGCAGGTTTGAACTGCTGACCTTGTGGTTAGCAGTCCAGTGCTTATCTTACAGTGCCACACTAGGACTTCATGATTAAGATGACCCAAATGTTATATTACATTAAAGTACCCAAACAAAACTGTTTTTTTCATAATAGAATAACAATTGTGACATGGCTTTTGTGATTATGAATATACTGTTACCATCATTTTAGCTCCACTATGTTCTTCAGTCACTGAAACACAGATACTAAAAACAAATATACATATTTTTCATATATACATAGCATTGTTCATACCACTTTCTTAAATTACGATATACATTCCTAAAAGCAAATAAGCTGAAAGATTCTATGAGTTTCTTCTTCAGTGCAAAGCCATTGAAAACAAGCTCATTCAGAAAAATGATGCTCTATATTTAACTAGCTGTCTGTTATCTACAGTCATACATGATTCAGCTATATGAGAGTAAGAAAGGAACAAATTAACAATAGTGGCAACACAATATTTTGAAAGCTATACTTGGGTTATATAAGCTCAACCAAGTATTGATTGACAGTTGTGACAAGCCAAACCGTGATTTAATGAACATATGATCAGTTCAAATTTTCAATTAAATTTCTCTAGGAAACAAATTCTCTAATACTAGTGCTATCTCCTATGGGCAATTCTTTTATTATAGTCACACCCAAGGCTTTACTTATATTCGTTCTTAAGTATGTCCATGTGCTTAGCTATACTGTGACCTACAGGACAGGACACACTTTTAGAATATTAATAGCACTATTCTCTAGGACTTCTTTTTCAGGAGACTGCAGAATCAACCAACAATGACCTACCAACAAATATTTTTCCACATTAAAAAAAAAATAGTGGTGATGTGATCAGAAATTCTACAGAAGTCAGCAATATGTTCAATTGGACCTTAGTTTTAAAACATGTAGTTTTAAGATAGATACTTTAATCCGGATTAAAAAAAAATTATCATTACTTCATCAGATAAAGGAAAAAAGCTACTTAAAAAATTAAAGTCAAAAGACTTCTAGATAAATTCAGAGCTCCTTTCTCAGTTCAGATTGTTTTCTTAAAGGTTATGATTGTTGTTGTTACGTGCCATCAAATCGGTTCTGACCCATAGCAACCCTGAATAGGGTTTCTGAAGAGCGGTTGGTGAACTTGAACCACCAACGTTGTGGTTCAAACTGTCTTTGTGGTCCAGCGCATTAACCCACAGAGCCACACCAGGACTCCAAAGGTTATGATAATCGACACTTAATTGTAGCAGGAAGATGCTCAAGTTAGGTTACACAAAGCCTGCTTCTATTTATTAAGATTGTTAAAGATTTTTAAATCATTGGACCTTTAACACAGAGAGAAGCACCTATGTATCTTGGATGATTATCCTTAACTGGCTAAAAATGAACTAATTAACTTATACCCAATATGGGAACATTGTTTCGGTTCTTAGCAGACCTCTGGGAAGGCACTGAGAAATTTGACAAGAACCAAAACACTAGGAGTGTTGCCACTATTGTTTCATGTTCAGTCAACGTTGGAATTCCAAATACGCACATACATACATACTGCACCAAGAGCACCTGAAACAGAGGTGCGGAACCCACATAGTTTAAACACATCTTTAAATGAAAAAGTCTAGATTTCGTATTTTAAATATCTAATTTGTAACAATGATACTTTATCACAGCGATCTGGGAGAGTGTCATGCTCTCACTGACATTATTTAACTAAGTCTGCAATTATATAACGTCTATCTGCTTTTTTTTTTTTTCAAATCGTGCTATACACAACTACAAGAATATGAAACTAAACTTAGTCAGACTTTAATAAGAAAACTCACTTTTATATAGTTACATTTCTGGTAAAGGAAGAACAATACATTATGATAATACTTTTAATGTAATGACTTTTGTTCAAGATTATGAAAACAATTCAATCATTTACCTTCAGACCATTTCATTTCAGATTTATACAGTGTGGTTAGTTAGTTGACCAAAAAGATAAGAAAACAAAAAAAAAAAGGGGGGGGGGGAGAGACACTTGGCCCAGTGAGAGAGAATACTAATACAAGGTTCAATGCATGGAGTTCTTGGTTGTTGTTTCATATGCCAGGGCAACTGGTGTACAACTAAACAGAACGCCAGATCAGTCCATTCTTACTGGGTTCAAGAAAATTCTCAATCAAAGCTTCAATGAGTTTCTTCAGTTCTTCTTCCAGTAAGGCAGTGTTACTAAGGGAAAAGATTGAGAGTTTTAAAATTCAACTTAAAATCTTTAAGTTGAATAGCCATAACTTTTTAGGGGGAAGCACATTGGCTTTAGAGGATAAGCACTGGACTACAAACCATAAGATTGGTGGTTTGAACCCACTAGCAGCTCCATGGGATAAAGATGAGGCTTTCTGTCCCTGCAAGATGTACAGCCTCATAAACCCTATATAGGGTGGCTATGAGTCAGAACAAGGAGCTCTGGTAGCATAGTGATTACAAATCGGTCTGCTAACCTCAGGGTCGGAAGTTCGAAACTACCAGTTGTTCCATGGGAGAAAAATGAGGCTTTCTGATCCCGTAAAGATTTACAGCCTTGGAAACCCTGTACAGGGTCACTATGAGTTGGAACCGAATCCATGGCACATAACCAACAAATGAGTCAGAACAGACTCGATGGCACTTAGCAATAATACTTGAAATGATTAAGCAGTTGGTGAACTAAACAGAAATTAATTCAGTTACAACAGACCCCTTTAAAGAAGAGCACAGGTGGAATACGGGACCCTATCCAGAGAAGCAGAGACACCAGAGGTGGAAGCAGAGATGGGGACATGGAGAGAGGGAGCAGCTGAGGACTCTGGACTCATGGAAAGAGAGGGACTGGGTGCCTCTGGCCAGGAGGTTGGATTGCAGAATGTGCCCTTTGGTTATTTAAATTATTATATATTCCTGAGTGTTTTGTATATATTTCCCCACACACGCCCAAAATAAAGAGGGAATGGAAGCAAATACTGTTGAATGATGATGCACGGAGAAGATTGTAATCATCACAATGAAACAAAGGTGTAAAGCCGATGTTCTCCCATGTAAACTATCACTCAGTTCACACAAAAAACTTAAAAAAAAAAAAAAAAAATCACACATAGAAAGAAATATCACACACTGAAGTTGAACTACATTAATATATGATATTAATGTATTAGTACATTAACTACATTAATACATGATATTATGTATTAGTACATGTTCCTTAGTACATGATAAATGGGTGAGGGAGTGGTTATAGTATGTTTAAAGGATTCTCTAGGTCAGGCAATTTTATGAATTGGGCCACCAATGGTTGTTAAGTATGGCTGAGTCTGTTTTAACTCCTAGCAGCCCTGTATAGAGTTTCCAAGGAGTAGCTGGTGGGTTTGCATGCCTGACCTCGTGGTTAGCAGTATAGTGCCAACACTACAGTACCACACCAGGACCCCGATACTGGGTATTATAATCAAACAGTTTCCTGAAATATTTAGATGAATACTCAGTACTGATATCATGGGGTGATAGGACATATCTTTCAGACAGCAGAGGGAAGTGTGATTAACAGAATGAGATGTTTAAAAAGCAAATACACACTTTAAAGTTTGTCTTTTAAAACTATCATCTGAGGAGCTGCTGTTGACTAAAACTTTTCTAGGAACGTCTCTTTTAAACTGTTTTCATAGTCATTTAGAAGCTATGCAAGAAGCCAGTTTTTATTACTTTAATAACCATCCTTTATTTTTTTTAAAATGGGGTATATAATCACACAAGGGGTTTTTTAAAAATTCATAGAAAAATTGCATTATTTTTAAATTAAAAATTTCCACAAACTTTTTGAAGCCCCTTCAGATAAACTGCATTTAAGCACACACACATATATAAAGCTCAGACACACACACACATGAGAGTAAGTCTAAAAGCATTGCTATGGAGGTTCCAGTTCATACATGCATGGGTTTATTCCAAACAAACACGTTTAGACATGTTTCTGTGATAGGTAGATGTCTGCTGACAAGTTCTCTCTGTGATACACTTGTCTTAGTCTTGTTGTTGTTGTTGTTGTTGTTATGTACCGTGGAGTTGGTTCTGACTCATAGCGACCCTGTACAGTGTTTCCGAGGCTGTAAATCTTTACAGGAACAGAAAGTCTCACCTTTCTCCCATGGAGCAGCTGGTAGTTTCGAACTGCTAACCGTGAGATTAGCAGCCCGATTTGTAACCATTATGCTGTAGGTGCTGACTCATAGAGACTCTGTATAGGGCTTTCAAGGAGCATTTGGGTTTAAACTGTTGACCCTGCAAGTTAGCAGCCCAGTGCTTATCCTACAGTGCCACACTATAGGTATTCAAATGAAAGTCCAATTAAAACAGTGGCTTTCAAGGGGATCTGTTGGGTCAGTTAAATTCAAAGCAGAGAAGTCAGTTCAGAAGGTTATGACAACTGGTTTATTGGGGATCCTAAAGGGTAATCTTGAAAGATTTTCTCAAAGGACACAAGGTGATCATGGGGCTTATTATGGTAAAGTTTTAATAAAACGGAAACTGTATTAGAGAGAAAATTGCCAGGAAAGTTGTGCCAAGGAGTTTTTTGGTTTGGTTTTATTTTTTTTTCCATCTCAGCAATGTACCTGCTCATTCTCCGAGGGCAGCTAGGGCTGTTTTATGAGACTTGTCCTTGGGAAATCTTACCCCCCATCCACCCTACAGCCCTGATTTTGCCCTTTCAGGCTTCTTTTTGTTCCCCAAACCTAAAGAACATTGAAAAGGAAGATGATTTGGGTCCCTTGAGGATGCCCAAACTGCTGTTTTGACATGGTGTAAATCAAACAGCACAGAATTCTTCAGGGAAGGGGAAGAGACATGGAAACACCACCTTCAGAAACATGTAGACCTAGATGGAGGATATGTCAAGAAACAATGACTTCACATTGATTCTTTTGTTTAATAAAGGCTTCTACAATTTTTGTAGCAACAGTTTTTGACATATAAAGCTTATATATAAAACATATGTCAATCCTCACCTCTGGTCAGGTGATGCACACATCTCGGCATAATACTTTATCTTTGGTTCTGTCCCGCTTGTTCGAAGGGTAGCAACACAGCCATTTTGAAAAGTAAAGGTAATCATTTGGCTGTTTTTACTCACAGGCAGCACCTATGCACAATCACAACAACAGCTTAATTGCACCCAGTATCCTTTTTCATTTTCAAGAATTATAAAATACAAAAGAGGATTACTTATATAACAGTTCATAAATATATCACATACTGACAATTTAGAATAGTCCAGGCATTTGGGTTATACGTCTTATATATATGATCTCTGAGCCTCAACAAAAATCCTGCCAAGTAAAGATGTGGCTGAGACTAAATGATTTGATCAAGGCAATCAGCGATGTGGCATAGCAAGAAATGGAAGCCAAAGTCTAAACTGCCTCTGTATCTGCAAGGTGCTCTACGATTTCAAAGTATTTTCACAAACAGTTTGTCAATGGTCTCGAAGCAGAGTTCACATATCCTAGGATTATATCCCAAATAACCTACTGGAATATCATTATTATTATAAAGATATTACACATACTTTTAACCTAAAATTTTAGAAAGAACTTAAGCTTGGCTAATATTTAATCCATGGATTGGCACTGGCGTTCTCTCTGGTCCTCAGATCACTCTACAAGGTATTCTGGGGAGACTGGGGATGGTACTATCCCCTCAGTAGACACGATGCTTTCAATTAGGTGTCCTGAGATCCCCTTGCTCTACCATTCACCAGTTGCTTATAAGACTTTCCTCCACTCTCTTCATTCACAGGCCATTAACTCAGTGAGCCCTGTCTATTCTATATGAAATTTAACTCAACTTTGCCCATTTCTCTCCACTATCACTGTTATTTTGTTAAATTTAGGCTACCATCATTTTTCACCTAGATTGCTAAAATGGCATGTGAACTACCCAGAAGTGTGCCCCTCTTCATACATGCCACTCTTCTCTCACTCCATACTTCAGTTACAGAGAATTATTTGTGGTTCTCTGAAGGAGACATGCCTTTTCACTTCTATACCAGGCACTTACTGCTCCCTCAGCCAGGCACTTGCTGCTCCCTCTCCTGCATCTGGATAACTCCTAATCATCCTCTACAATTCAGCTCAGAGAGTCCTCTATAACATCTTCCCTAAGCCCCCAAGTCCTTGTGTGGTGCCCTAGGATAAGCACTGTACTGCTAGCTAGGTCAGTTTGAACCACAAGGTTGGCAGTTCAAACTCACTAGCCACTCCTTGGAAACCCTATACAGGATTGTTATGAGTAGGACCTGACTTGACAGCACTTAACAACAACAACAACAAGCCCCCAAACAGCACAGTGAATTATTAAATATGGGGCTTCCAGCCATAGTCTTTGTAACTCCCATCAACTTTTTTCCTGATGGATCTGGATAAGAAAGGGTAGGGGTGGGGAGATGCTGAAAGGATTCTATGATTTAGTTGTGAGTGACTGTTAACAGGGCTAAATGTGATTGTAAAACTTGGAACTCTTAACATGGGGACTGGTCAATTCTGCCATCCTGCTGGACTACAATGAGCCATCTCAGAAGCAAGAATGTGGGGTCTCATTACCATAAGAAAGAACGACCAAGAGTAAAGAGCACCCTTGGGACCGGTAGGTCCCTGCACATTGAACCTCCTTGATCCAGGGACAGAGAGCTGTGACAACAGAGAAGCAGCAGAACCGAGAATAGAGAACAAGACAGAACAGTGTGCTTCCCAACCCATGGAGCAAGTAAAACTGACTGCCTTCAGGCAGGAGGCTCACTTGTAGAGTGGGGTGCCTCTAGACACTTCATCTGGGGAGCTAGGTATACAGAGTACGGTTAGAAAGGGAAGTGAAAATTAGAAATTATATGGCTTTGAAATGATAAGCTTTTAGACTTTATTTTCAATATCATTTAGCATCAAAGCAAGCACATGCACATATATATTTCAGGGGTAGTATAGCTATGGGTTAATGCATCAGACTGCAAAGTCATTTGAACTGTAATATTGGCAGTTCAAGCTCACCAGCTGCTCCTCAGAAACCCTATACAGGGTCGCTAGGGGTCGGAACTGACTCGATGGCACTTAACAACAACAACAATAGATGATTTTTGAGGGGTGATGAAGACAGACTCAACAGCAGATAATCCAATTAACAGACTTACTACTACTCTGGAGAAAAACAATGAATCCTAGTCTTAAGAAACCCCTATGCTTGAAGGCACACTATTTTATGATTAAAGGAATTATTAACAATTTATTTTAAAATAGGCACTTACTGATTTCTTATTAGGCTGGCTGCTATCATATCCAGTGGTAACGTCCCGTATATGCAGTATAGCAAATGCCCCACAAAATTTTGGATATTCTTTTGGAGAATCAAAATTGCGAAGTCTTTCAAATATACTTTTGATGATAGGTGGATCATAACACAAGAAATATGAAGTTTTTGAAATATGATATCCATATCTGTAATAGATTGGAATTGTTAAAATCAGATTTCAGATAACTCTTTAAAACTACATGAAAGATAAGCCTATTATAGTATTTTGTAGGAGGCTGTTGTTGTTGTTAAGTACTGTGGAGTCGGTTCCGACTCATAGTGACCCTGATCAGGGTTTCCGAGGCTGTAAATCTTTACAGGAGCAGAAATTCTCATCTTTCTCCCGCAGAACAGCTGGTAGCTTCGAACTGCCGACCTTGAGGTTAGCATCAGACAAGTTTAATTCTTCTTTTTAAAGTATTGACTATTCCTCAAAATCAAACTTAGAAAGTGAAGTATAAGTCAAAATTAAAAAAAAAAAAAGAGAGACAGAAAATCTAGCCTGTGAAATTCATAAAAGTGGACTTACTTTTCATAAACTTTGATTAGCTGTTGTCTCAATGTGATGTTCATTGTTTCAAGGAAAGATGCCATCTCAGCAACAACAACTGCTGCACTCACCCCATCTTTATCCAAAACGGATGTTCCACACAGAAAACCTGAGGGTGAAAAACAAATTCAGAAAAGATGATGCCAGAGAAAAACTTAAGCTGGCAATTTCATTAATTTTACATTTCTTTGGAAGGACCAATGCACAAAAGCCTTGTATTAGACGATGCTCATCTATACTGAACATATGTAGACCTAGTGCCATGGAGTTGGTTCTAACTCATAGTGACTCTATATTGGATCTCTAAGACTAAATCTTTATGGGAGCAGACAGCCTCATCGTTCTCCCATGGAGCGGTTGGTGGGTTTGAATTGCTGACCTTGTTATTAACAGCCCAGTGCCTAACCCACAGTGCCACCTTATCTAAGGACCTTTAAAAACATTTTTTATTTTCCTGATGAGAAATACATTTATACATTTCTGAGTTCTCTGTAGTTTTTACAATTCAAAATGCAAAACCAGAAGACAAAATTCTTCTTCATAGAATTATCACGTTAAAAAAAAAGTTCTCGATCAAATTTCAAAAAATTTTAATATTTACTACATACCAATAGACTCTTCAAATGCAAAAAGGACTTCTTTCCCATTTTCCAGAAGGTCTTTTATTCTACTCCCAATCCATTTAAAACCTGGTAATGTTTCCTGAAATGTAGAAGAGGCCGCTCTTGTTAAGTGACTCATGAATACATATTAGAGGCAATCCTGTCACTAAATGCACATACACTTGTATAATAGCCCTCTGTTAAGGTCTTCAGTCCCCAAGATTTTTTGAAGTGCTATACAAGTGCCATGAATACACACACTGCCACTATATATTACCTACTATTTACACTAAATATAATCCAATGTGATTCAGAGTCACGAAGTGACAGATACATTCATACATTAAGATCATCAAGCAATGTAATAGGTGCTTTACATCCATTGTCTCTTAATACTCACAAAAATTCTGCTGCTGAAACAGAGGCTCAAAGATTAAATAAATTTGCCCTAGATTGTGCTGCATATAAAAGATGGAGCCAGGATTCAATTACACTGCCTCTTGGAAACTATCCTTTAAGCTAGCTTATATCACTAATATAAGAGTACCTACTAAAGTTGTGATTTACTTTCCCTGCATAATCAAAAGCTATAAAATTTATATACCATTAGCATCAGCACAACCTATGTATGTTTGAACCAACTTTAAGTTTCCATCACATTGTGGCTTAAATAAAACCAAGAAAGATACTAAATCCTCCTTTGGCGAACAGATTTGAGGATTTATCATCTGATAGCATGAACTGTTTTAGAATTGATAGAATGTGATATGCTCTAATTCTATAATTCATTAGTAATTTAAGATTCTTAATTCACCTCTCTATCACCTAACAAAACAAAAAACCAAGACAATACAACACCAACAAAACCCCCAGATAAACCACTCTCTCTACCACCACTATGACACACAACAGAAAAAAACAAGCAAATTTATCATCTTGGTCATTTGAATCATCCTTTTTTCTCTTTTGTGCTCATTATATATCTTCCTTGATATAGATAAAAACAAGGAAATTATTAACATCATTGTAATTCAGAATCTTGGTGGTGGTGGTTGGTGGTTATGTGCTGTGGAGTCAGTTCCGACTCTTAGCGACCCTGTACAGGGTTTCCAAGGCTGTAAATCTTTACGGGAGCAGAAAGCCTTATCTTTCCCCTGTGGAACAGCTGGTAGTTTCAAACTGCTGAGCTTGCTGTTTGCAGCCCGATTTGTAACCACTACCCTACCAGAGTTCCTTAATTCAGAATCATAGGCTTGAAAAAAAATTCAATTTCTTGTACTTGGTTATTTATGTTTTAGAAAGGCTAAATAAGGTTGGAAAGTTCTCTCTCATGAAGACAGGTACAATTTTTCTTTTACTCAGTGTTAAGATCTGTGGTATGACTAGGGCTCAAAGAAAGAAAGAAAGAAAAAACCCAAATGTGACATTTTCACTGACATTTGACAAATATGACAGAGTAAATGCAACATAATAGACATTAGTCTCATAGCTTCAAAAATGATTAAAAATCAGCATAATTGCCTGATACTCACCAAGGTTAATGATCTGTATTGAACGAAAGAGTGAGTCATTACTTTTCTTTTAGAGATAGAAACAATGGATCTAAAGTTACAACTTAGAAGACTACTTCAAGTTGTTTAAGATTGAGCTAAACAAGTGGTTGGCAACACAATTTTTTGGAGTAGAGTTTATCTTACTGATGAGGCTACCAAGAGCCAAATTTTCTCAGTGTGAAAACAAGATATTGTTATATGGAATAATAAACATCAATTAAAATTGTAAGAATATCTTATCCTAATCCCCAATACTGTTCACATGTTGGATGAATTTCGCTCAAGGTGTTTGAAATAACAAAGAGAATTTAAAAGCATTAGCAGATTTAGAAAAATGTGTAAAACTGTAAATAAAATCAATAAAGGTCAGTTTTGGTGGAGAAATGCCTTTAATTTAGACAAATAAATGTAGAAGAGTGGCACACAGACATTATTTATTCTTACTTCAAAATGAAATCCTTCTTTAAGTGCAATTGCCTTCAAAATTTTAGAAGAGACTGTGGTGGCTAACATATAAACATTATTCACATCAGCATTTCTTGATTTATTTCTCCAGCAATCAAACATCCACCACCCAAACAAAGCTGCCAATTCATTTCCTGTGAAAACTTTCCAATGACCACTGTAGAGAGAGTGAAAATTTAAAGTCAAGACTTCTCTAGTGTCTCTTTAAAACCTGTTAACTCTAAAACTTAAAAATTAGACTCTTTCATATATTATCACATGGGATCGTTGAGAAAACATTTACTACTACTTTTCTTTCTAATAGCACAGGGGGTGGTTTGGGGTAGGGATGCCTGCAATATAATTTGGAAAATTATTACACTGTTACTTTTATTCTAAGAAAAAAGTTATAATAAATGTTTAAGCCTTTCTGTGCAAGGGAGTTTGTCACAAAATTAAAATGACAAAAACAAGTTTGTACTCCAAGGCAAACATTAGTCATTATGTTGAAATATTATGTTATTTTTAAAATTAATATACTCAAACAATATTTAAAGACAGGAAAGATTGCTCGTAATACAATGCTAAGTACAAAATAATCAGGATTCAAAACTACATATAATCACAATTTTATATAAGCAAATATTTCTTCAAATATTTAATTAGAAAAAAGATTAGAGAAAATGTCAAGATTTCACTTAGGCCTTAGATGGTGGAGTTTATAGAAGATTTATATTCTTTTCCTAATTTTTCATTATTTTCAATGAGCCTGTAAGACTTAAAATAAAAGACAGTTTTCCAATGTTGAAACTTTTAATCAGTACTAATTCTACTTACTTTTCCTGAAGTTCTGCCACTGCCAGTCGGTCTGCATCAGGGTCTGTGGCTAGGACAACTCGGGCCTTTTCTTTCTCTGCTAGTCTCAAAGAAAGTTCCTAAAACAGTGACCGAAAAAGCTAGAGTACATTAAATAAGTTAATTTTAATATTACTACTCCTAAGATTAGGCACTGTTAGTCACAGGAATTTTAGAAGGCATATAATTTGACTAAACTTAAAAGAATAGGCCTAGAGGTTCTGTTATACATAGGGTTGCTATGAGTAGGTACCGATTCGATGGCACCTAACAACAAACAACAGAGGTAGGAATACCTACCACAAAGATTTCAATCTAAAATAGAAAGTGCAGTTGTTGTTATTAAGTGCTGTTGAGTCGATTCTGACTCATAGTAACCCTGTATAGGGTTTCTGAGCAGTGGCTGGTGAGTCTGAAATGCCACTGTTGTGATTCAAACCAACCTTGTGGTCCAGTGCATTATCCTGCAGCGCCACACCAGAACTCCAAAACGGAACATAAGATTCCAGCATCATTTAAAAGATGTAAACTAAAGTGGTTCTTGTTTTGTAAAATGATTTTTGAATTGTCATTGAATTCTACCTATTTTGATGATTAATAAATCAAATTAGATATTAAAAAATATATACCAGCACGGATTCTCCTTCTTCAGGATTTGGGCATTTAACAGTAGAAAAGTCTGGATCAGGATCCTTTTGTTCTGGTACTGGAATTGGGGGCTTAAACCCAAACACTTGAAAAGCCAACTGTACATAGTCATGTCCAACCCCATGAAAAGACGTGTGAACAAATTTCAAGGTGGTCTTTGAGTTTATTTCCCTGTAAAAGAAAATCATCATTCAATCAGTATCATAAAACTTAGTGGTTATGATATAATGAAAAACAGTCAAATTCTGAGTATAAGTGATTCAAGTCTTTAGCAGAGGTCTAAAGGCCTACAACTATGCAGTATTTACTTAAGCATCAACAAGATTTTGAGCTGAGCTGTGTTCTTTCTTTGTGACTCAACTCCTTAGCCTGGATATCTTCTATCTATTGTCTATTGTGCCATCTCCTTCCATCAGCCATCTCCTTCCATCAGCAAAAACTTCCTAATGGCATCATCTTACTCTCCAGCAGACCCTTCCTTTCTTCACTTCTTTTATGCCCAGCTTAAATCCCAAGGTACCTAATTTTAATGACCTTTCTATATATCACTTCAGTTATTTGAATACCCCAGTACCCCAACCTTGCTGAACCACTATGTATGTTTTACAGGTGTGCACCAAAAACTGCTAAATACTGCTAGGGTTGTTGTTGTTGTTAAGTGCCGTTGAGTCGGTTCCGACCCATAGCGACCCTGTATAGGGTTTCCGAGGGTGTAAATCTTTACAGGAGTAGAAAGCCTTATCTTTCTCCTGCGGAGCAGCTGGTAGTTTCGAACCGCTGACCTTAAGGTTCGCAGCCCGATTCGTAACCACTATGCTACCAGAGTAAGTCTCAGAAAAAGGCCTGAATGCCTTCATTTAAATGGACACTCAATAGGCAATCCACTTTATTATCTACATGATCTTACTTTTTCTTCTTTTTTTCTACTAAGATGATTAAATTAATACCTTCAAAACTCAACCTACTGTTGTGGAGTCAATTCCTAGCACCACACCAGAACTCCTTTACAAGTAGATATCTGTAGATATGTCCTAATGTTTTACATATTCCTGGTGTGGCATTGTAGGAGTCGTGGACTGCAAAGTTTGTTTGAACTGCAAGACCAGCAGTTCAAACCCACCAGCCACTCCTTGGAAACCTTATACAAGGTCGTTAAGGGCTGGAACAGGCTTGGCAGCACTTAACAACAATTACCCTATATACCTTACCTTTTTCATTCAACATTATGTTAATGAGAAATTTTCATGGTTATGCATGAATTGCCATGGATTGAATTGTGCCCCAATATGTGTAAGAAGCCTGGTGTAATGCTTTAGGATAAGCACTGGCCAGCTAACTGCAAGATTGGATGTTCAAACCTACCAGGTGCTCCCTGGAAACCTTATACAAGGTCATATGACGTAGAATTGACTCAATGAAACTTAACAAAAATATTATGTGCCAAGTGGGGCCATGATTCTCAGTGGGTTGGCAGTTAATGTAATGATTAATTTGGCAATTATATGATGATGTAATCGTGCTCCCATTATGTCATCTAATATGATCAGCCAATTAGTTGTGCGGGGATCAGGCTAGGATACAACACCCTTACTTAGGTCACAGCCTGATCTACTGAACACAGAGTTTCTCTGGGTGTGGCCTGCAACACCTTTTATCTTCTGTTGCGGACTGTGTAAGACTGGTCAGAGGTTCGAGGCCCTCTAGGGCCGAGTGTAACAAATGAGGCCACTGGCAGTTAATGGCAAATTGCTTTCATTTTAATATTCAGGTATATATATTAAATTAATACACGGAGCCTTTGAGAATCCACAGATAAATGTGATATTTTCCTAAAGCCTAAGACTAAAGGTTGCAAGGTCAAGCCTTTCTCCAAAAGGATTAACTAAAAATATCTTAGCTACTTCTCGGGGTTCTTTGTTTTATAGACAAAGAACCCATCCTCCCTAATCCCTTTTCCAGGTGCAGCCCATTCACCTGTGGGCATCTCCTGCAGAACTCTCACCTTCCCCCAACTGACCTCAGGGGCTATAGATATGTTAATTGGGCCTGAGAATCCAAGTTGCTGGCCTGGGATTCGAACCAGCGAAGTATGATGTAAAGTTATCTGAATGTCTGGAAAAGTACTGATGTTAGCTGTACCTTGCCTAAGTCCCTCCCAGCTAGGTGTGAAGCTCCTCCCCTAAATAAAGCAGAGGCCCAGGCCTCCCCAGGTGTGCATTACTGGTTGGAAGGCATGCAGTAAAGATTGCAGGGCAGTGAGTTGCTGCCTGCAGAGGCCACGATGCCTGTAGTCCCAAGCCTGCCCACCAGTGATGTATCCACCCTGGCTTTGGGGTGCCTCATTGTCTCCCTTCTTCTGTTTGTTTGTGTATTCTTTCGCTATCCCTATCGCCACTGGATCTCCCCTCTCGTGACCCAAACACTCGTGAACAACATAACTATGTCAAGGTCAGACCCCGACAATCTTCAACAGAAAAAAGGAGAGAGAAGCAAGCAGAGAAGGAGGGACCTCAGTACCGCCAAGAAAGAAGAGTTGGGAGTGGACCACATCCTTTGGACCCGGAGTTCCTGCACTGAGAACCATCTTGACCCAAGGGAAGACTGATGCTAAAACACATGGAGATCTATCTATAAGGAATGAAAGGGCCCACAGATGTTGAAAGAAGACAAAGACCTTCCCCCAGAGCTGATGGAGAAAGAAAGTCTTCCCCTAGAGCTGGCACCCTGAATTCAGACTTCTAGTCTAGAGTCCTGGTGAGGCACTGTAGGATAAAGCACTGGATTGCAAGGTGGGTTTGGATCACAAGTTCAGTGGTTCAAACCCATCAGTTACTCCTCAGAAACCCTAGACAGGGCCGCTATAAGTCAGAACCAACTGGACAGCACATAACAACAACAACAAACAGTGAAAAAATAAATGTTAAAGCCATCTACTTGTGGTATTTCTGCTATAGCAGCACTAGAGAACTAAGATGGTGGTGGTGGTGGTTGTGTGCTGTTGAATAGGTTCCGACTCACAGCAAACCTGTATAGGGTTTCCAAGGCTGTAATTCTGAATGGGTGCACACAGCCTCATCTTTCTGCTGAGGAATAGCTGGTAAATTCAAACTACTGACCATGCAGTTAGCAGCCCAGCTCATAACCACTACACTACCAGGGCTCCTTATAGAATTAAGATAGTGCTGACTCATTTATTTTCATTAATGTTATCATTTTCTATTGCATGAACATACCTCAATTTATCCATTCTACTGTGGATGAACATTTAGATCTTTCTCCCATATCTCCCTCTCCCTCTCCTTCTCTCTTTCTCTTTTTTATTACAACCAATACTGCCATGAACATTCTTGTTCATATCTCCTTTTGCCCACATGCCAAAATTTTCTTCCCATGAGTTTTATCAACTTATCTTCTGCAGATGTGTATCTCATGTCTCCACTGTCTCCACATTCTTGCCAATGCTTGAGGTGAGCTAGACTTGAATTTTTTTCCAAGGTCACATATAAAATAGTGATTTTTGTTGTTTGTTTTAACTCACATTTTCTCCAATTATCAGTAAGCCCATTTACTCATTAAACCATCACAATGTGGCTCCCATCTCAAGAAGGTCACCAAAACTGTTCCCACCACGGATACTCATAATCTTCATATTACCACATCCAATGACCATTTCTTTATCCTTATCTCACTGGTGGCACTCTGGGTTTGGTGTTGTACTGCTGACTGCAAGGTCAGCAGTTCAAACCCATTAGCTCTATTACCTGCCTGCCTGCTGGGCCGGCCTGTCATCTGACTTGCTGATCTTGGTTCATCTGACCAGGATTTGGGAATCAGCCACCTCTACAACTGTGTGAACCATCTCTTTGATATAAACTTCTCTTTATATATATGTATATAAGTTTCGCTAGTTTTGCTTCTCTAGAGAACCCAGCCTAAGACACTTTTCTCCTTACCAGATAAATGTTAAAGACTCTCTTCACTTCTCTCTTTTTATACCCACCCACCTGGGTAATCTCATTCATTTTCATAAACTTGTATCCTTCTGTGTACTGACCACTTATACATTTAGATCTTCAACCTTTACTCAATTCACAATAAAATGTTTTTAGAAACATCAGATCTTTGACATAAACTTTTCCCTTTTATCTCCAGGCTTATATATAACTACTGACTTGACATCGCCTCTTAAATATCTCATTAAAACAAAACACCACGAACAAAACTAACCCATTACCATGAAGTTGATTCCAAGATTGAGTAAACAGAACTGCCCCATGGGGTTTCCAAAGCTGTAATCTTTAAGGAAACAAACTATCATGTCTTTCTCCTGTGAAGTGTCTGGTGGGTTCAACATGCTGACCTTCTGGTTAGCAAACAAGCACTTAACCACTGTGACTCTAGGGCTCTAAATATCTCGTTGTTTGGTGCCATTGAGTTGGTACCGACTCATAGTGATCCTATGTACAACAGAACGAAACACTGCCTGGTCCTATCTCATAGGTATCTTAATCTTAAAAGTCCAACTCTGACTTAACAGTTGTTAAGTGCCGTCGAATTGGTTTCACCTCACAGTGATCCTGTATAGATAGGATTTTTGAAACTTTAAATCTTTGTGTCAGCACAAATCCTCATCATTCTCCTGTAGAACGCCTGGAGAGCTTAAACCTCTGACCATGTGGTTCGAAGTCCAGTGCTTACCCTATGGAGTCATAGCTTAAGTAAATGGTATCTCTACTTCTACTGTTACATACATACATACTAGTTGTCACCAGCTCAATTCCGAATAATGGCAACTCGGTATGTATCAGATTAGAACTGTATTCCATAGGGTTTTCACGAGCTTATTTTTTTTCAGAAGTAGATTGCCAGTACTTTCCTCTGAGGCACTTCTGGACCTGTTAGTTATTAATTGAGCTCATTAGCCATTTGCACCACCCAACAACCTTCTACTCTTACTTCCCTCTAATCAAGCACAGTAGCTACAGTGTTCTTTTTATAAAATAAATCAGATCTTGCCACTCCCAGCTTAAAAGTTCTTCAGTGGCTTCCCAATGCACTTGGAGTTAAATTCCAACTCCCTTCCACTGCCTACAAGGTTCTGCTTAGTATGACTCTTTCCTCATTTCCCCCCTTTTCTATCTTACCCTCACTGCCACACTGTTGTTGTTGTTATGACTCATAGTGACCCTACACAGGGTTTCCGAGGCTGTAAATCTTTACGGGAGCAGACCGCCTCATCTTTCTCCTGCAGAACCGCTGGTAGTTTCGAACTGCTGACCTTGCGGCTCACAGCCCGATTCATAACCACTATGCTACCAGAGCTCCTATGCCACACTACCCTCTAGTTTTTCTGACTTTCTGTCATTTCTCAGAACATACCAAGCTCTTTTTCCATTCCAGAATCTTTTAGTTTGCTGTTACCTCTATCTAAAATATTCCTTCTTGTTCTGCCAGCCCTCTTATCTCTTATTAGGATTTACTCATTCCCATTTTTCAGATTGCCACTTAATTCTGACTATCATCCTAATGGAGGTCCACTCCATTATTTCCCATCATTAACATTCAATCTCCTTCTAGCATCAATGTCAATCTGTAGTTACTTTATAATTATTTTATTTGCTGATAAAACATAAGCTCCTTGGGGCAGGGAACTCAACTGTTTTGTTCTAAATTTTTAGTGCCTGGATCAGTGCTTGGCACATAACAGGTCTACAAGAATTATGTATTGAACAATTGAATGATAATTATTTTTGTGATATTTCAGAGTTGAATTGGCTTGATCAAAGTTTTTATAGATAAACAAGCAAGGACAAAAAAGATAAGAGAATAATTAGAATCGTTTCAGATTTACTATGACTAGCAGCATTTGGAGCCCTGGCATGGCACTATAGGATAAGCACTAGACTGCTAACCACAAGGCTGTGGTTCAAACCCACCAATCACTCCTAGGAAACCCTATGAGTTGGAACTGACTTGATGGCACTTAACAACAACAATAACATAAAACTACTTAGAAAAAAACTTTATTGCAATACGATTCACTCGTATAAAATGTACAACTTAATGGCTTTGTACATTGAAATCTAAATCACTATTTAGAGTGATGTAACCAATACCACATCAATTTTAAAATGGTCTCATGATCTCAAAAGTAAACTGTAGTCCAAAGCCACCATGCCCAATCCTGCCATTCCTAGGCAACCACCAATGTACTTTCTATCTCTGTAGATTTGCCTCTTCTTGAAATTTCATATACTAGGCATCACACAGTATGAGGAAAATATTAAAAAGTCCATGGAAAGAAATTCCATTATCTTTTCATTTCATTTTTCCACAAACTTTTTGAAGCCCCTTTGTTTGTGGTTCTTTGTGACTAGCTTCTTTCCTTAGCATATTTTCAAGGTTTATCCATCTTATAGCATATATCACTACTTCATTCATTTTTATTGTTAAATCATATTCTGTTGTATGCATATGCCACATTTTATTTATCCATTCATCAGTTGATGGATATTTGAGTTGTTTTCACTTTTAGTTATTAGGATAAAGCTATTTAGCTATATTTTAATACAACAAATAGAGAAAATATTTTTATCTGTTTTTCTTTCTCTCTTTAAAAAAGAAATCATTCTGAGGTAATACTATCCTATATTCTCACTTGGATACCTGTGAAAACAGATCTTTTTCAGATCTTCCATGTATCTTTTACAAATGTCCTGCAGAGGATCTTTCTTCAGTGGGCTGGTATCCACTAAATTATCATTCCAGGAACCATTCCAGGGTTCCACACATTCTTCTATACATTTCAGAATTTCTTTATCATGAGGAGATGTGATCTGAGAACCAGTTTCCCAATAAACCTGAATGATAAGTAAATAGAGCTATAATTACTTGAAATGTTCAGATTCATTCTTAACTACAGTAGAAGTCTTTGATTTTAATCAATCAAACTTAATCACACAGAAGATGTCAATATGGAGCTATTTCATAAATACCAAAGGATATTGATGTTTTTAGCGATCTCACAGGAACTCTTCAATAGTACAGTCATGTATTATTTTTAAATATAAGCTAGTGTATCATTATGACAACATAATATGCATATACCATAATGTCAAATCATATCCTTAGGTCTATAATTATACATTAAAGTTAATCTTAGAAAGAATGGAGTAGCTCATAAAACTTGATAGTACTAATCTTTAGCATTATAAAGTGGTTGTTACATGGTACAGATGAAATAATTTTTTAATTATAGACTGAAGAATTTATATTACATCAGATAGTCAGGAAAGATGATTAACATGTTAAGTATTCATTTACATTTCAATAATATGTCACTTTGCCAAGTAGCTTGATCAATAAGACTTTAGAAATTACACACACACAAAAACCCCCAGAGAATGCATTTCTAATAATTCACACAATATCAAAGTCAGACGGGGCTTGATTAAAGGATATCTACAGACTAGGAGTCCTGGTGTGATGCCACAGGGTAAGCACTTGACCTCAAGTTTGGTTTGAACTGTAAAGTTGGCAGTTCAAACTTACCAGCCACTCTTCTAAAACCCTATACAGGGTCGCTGTGAGCCAGAACTGACTTAACAATTTAATGACAACAACATAGGATAAGCATTGGTCTGCAAGGTCGGTTTGAACTTCAAGGTTGGCAGTTCAAACTTACCAGCTGCTCCTCAGAGACCTTATACAAGGTTGCTGTGAGTTGGAACCAACTCAATGCCACTTAACAACAATAACCATTGGTTCCAGCCAACCTTGCAGTCCAGCGCATTAACCCGCAGCACCACACCAGGACTCCAATATGGCTACTTGTTGTTTGTTGTTGTTAACTACCATGGAGTTGGTTCTGATTCATAATCACCCTGCACAGGGTTTCCCAGGCTGCAAATCTTTATGGGAGCACAAAGCCTCATCTTTCTCCCACAGAACAGCTGGTAGTTTCAAACTGCCAACGATGACATTAGTAGCCCGATTCATAACCACTACCCTAGAAAACTTAAAATTACATGTGTGGATTAAACTGGGGGACTCATGTTATATTTTTCTTGGGCACAGCTGACTTGTAGGGTAAATTTCAAGAAGTGGAACTTCTGGGTCAAAGGGAATATGCAAAGAAAATTTGGGGTCATGGTGTGGCACTGTAGGATAAGCACTTGACTGCCAACCATGAGGCTGGCAGTTTAAACCTGCCAGCTACTCTTTGGAAAACCTATATAGGTCACTATGAGCTAGAACTGACCTGATGGCACTTAACAACAACAAGCAATAACATCTTACTGAATCTGCACTTTCACCCTGTGATGCCGGTTCTATTATTAGCTACAGTTTGCAGAGGTTAAATGGAGCAACAACAAAAACCCCAACCAGTTGTTACGGAGTCCATTCTGATCCATGGCAACCTCATGTGTGTCTGAGTAGAAATGTGCTGTAGGGTTTTCAGTGGCTGATTTTTTGGAGGTAGATTGCTAGGCATTTCTTCCAAGGCACATCTGGATAGAGTCTAACTTCCAACTTCCAGTTAGCAGAAACTGTGCTAACCATTTGCATCACCCAGGGACTTCAAGGAAACTGAATTGTGTAACTTGCCTGAGGTCAAACCAAACTCACACTCTTAACTGCTTTTCTGAATGAACCCTATAAATCTACTTGCACGTGAGAACAAAGACAAATCCTGCAATACTGGTGACCCCTGAGTAGATGCATGGATAGACACGCAGGCTGAATGGCTATGGAAGGGAGTGTGGGACTGCACCTACAAATACATATAGATCTGACACAGTGTATTTTTACATGTGTATTTACCTTTGCTGCAAATGTATCCACGAATGTGACAGATCATGGTGCTGGTGGTGGTGGTGTACTGTGGAGTTGGTTCTGACTCATAGCGACCCTGTATAGAGTTTCCAAGGCTGTCAATCTTTATGGGAGCAGAAAGCCTTATCTTTCTCCCGCAGAACCGCTGGTAGTTTTGAACTAGCTGACCTGGAGGTTAATAGCCCGACTCATAACCACTACACTACCAGAGCTCCTTGTGACAGATCATACAGGGTGCAAAATTATTAGATTTCTCAGACATAACCCAAAACCTTGAGGGAATGAGTCCCTGGGCCTGGAGGCTCAGGACATCAAAGCAAATTGGCATAACGTAGTTCACAAAGACAGTGTTCTACATTCTATTCTTTTTTTTTTTTTAAGTTTTTATTGTGAACTATGTGTTAGTTGACATAGGAGAACATTATCATTACATTCATCCTATCATATTTCATTTCACTGCAATGATTACAATCCCTTGCATGCATCTACATTCTATTTTTGTGAGCAGTGATCGGGATCTAAAAAGCTCTTGACCAGCCATCTACAGTGCACCTGTTGGACTCTCCTTGTCTGAAGGAAAGAATAGTGAAGAAAATCACAGCTACATGGAAACAATTCATCTAGTGGACTAATGGACCACATGAACATCAGTCTCTACAACCCTGAGACCAGAAGAACTAGATGGTGCCCAGCTACCATTACTAACTCTTCTGAAAGGGATCTACCCACACGTGGATAGAGTGGGAGAAAATGTGGAACAAAAATCAAAATCATTAAAAAAAACCCTAAAAAACAGGCTTATTAGTTGGATAGAGACTGGTGGAACTCCTGAGACTATGGTCCTTAGTCAGGTCTGGAAATGAACTCACCCCCATGGCTCAATTTTCAGTCAAACACTAGACAGGTCTATAAAGGGAACAGTAACCCTAGGGAGGTATGCATACCTTAGAATAATCACACATTTGAGATCAGAAGAGTAGCATTTACCCAAGGACAAAATTCAAAAGAGTTGGAAAAGAAGGAAGAATGGGAACAAGAAGCACAGGGAGGAGATGGCATAGGTGATGTTACTTTGTGGGGATTTTGATCAGTGAAATGAAACAAAATGTGTACGAACTGTTGAATGGAAAATTGATCTGCTCTGTACACTTTCACCCAAATCACAAAAAGTTAAATAAAAGAAAAAGGATGTAGGTAGAAAAAATTAATTGTAGCATTGTTTGTAACTAGCAGAGGATCAGAAACAACTGAAATGCTGTTCAATAGAAGACTGGTTAAAAAATTAGGATCCAACAGCAAAAGATGTAGATTTTCAGATGAATAAGGTATGGTGGTGAATGTGTGACACTGAGTTAGTCTGACTCATAGAGACCCTGCATAGAGTTTCCAACCCTGTAGAGAGTTTCCCATCTTTTATGGGAGCAGAAATCGTCATCTTTCTCCCACTGAGCAGCTGGTGGATTTGAACTACTAACCTTGTGGTTAGCAGCCCAATGCATAACCTATTACACTACCAGAGCTCCTGTGGTTAGCAGCCCAATGCATAACCTATTACACTACCAGAGCTCCTTTTGGAGATATATAAATATAGATATAGCTATAGCTATGTATGTATGTATGTATATATATATAGGCATGTTGTTGTTGTTGTTGTTGTTATGTGCCGTGGAGTCGGTTCCGACTCATAGCGACCCTGTACAGGGTTTCCAAGGCTGTAAATCTTTACTGGAGCAGAAAGCCTCATCTTTCTCCCGCGGAACAGCTGGTAGTTTCGAACCGACTCCACGGCACATAACAATAACAACAACATATATATACACACACACATACAGAGACTGAATGATCTATAAGACATACTGTTGTGTTAAAAAAAAAAAGACCCAAAACTGTATATAGTGTCCTACCATTTGTATAAAAGAATGGAGGAGTGACAAATACATATATGTTTATATATGCATAGACTACCTTTGGTAGCAAAGTAAAACTGGAAACAGAGACACTGGGGTGCAGGTATGGAAGAGATACTTTTTACTGTTTAGGCTTTTATACAGTTGGATCTTACTTTGTGCTTGTATTTTGAAAGAAAACAACAAAAACAAAAATGACAAAATATCTTTGAGGGTCTATTATGTACAAAGTATGTTTAACAGCAATAAACATACAAACTGATTTAGTCCTTCCCCCTTGAGTTTTCATGTGGGAGATGGAGGTGGGGGAAGGCCACACAATTCAACAAACAAGAGAATTCATCACAAAGAGACTAGATAATTACAGATAGTGGTAAATGTTGTGAAGGAAATAAAAACGATGATGAGAAAGTTATTGAGGGAAGCTATTAAAGATAAGGTGGCAAGGAATGTCTCTTTAGGGAAGCAACATCTGAACAGGAACCTGAAGGACAAAAATAAGCAAGTCTGCATAACTGGGGAAGAGTAATTTGAGCAGAGGAAAAAATAATTACAAAGGTTCAGAGGTAGGAAGAACTTGATATACTGAAGAAACTGGAGAGACAGAAAGAAGCAGCAGTGTGACTGGAATTTAGTGAGCACAGAGAGGAAAGAAATGAGGTAAAAGAAACAGACCTTGTAGGGTCCTGTAATTCAAAGAAGAAGAAAAAGCCATTGAAGAACTTTAAGCAGGAGAATGACATGAGCTCATATATTTTTTAAAGATCATCTGGCTGCTTGGTGGAGAGTGAATTGCAGGAAAGAACTGAGAAGACGACAGGAGACCAGCTACAATGCTGTTGTTCAAACAGAAAACAGCATCGGCTTGGAAAGACGGCAGTGGAGGGGGTGGGCAAAGATAAATATATTCATCATATCTGAGATTTAGAAATTATGGAACCTGTTAAAAGAGTGAATGCCAGGAGTAAAGGAAAGGGAATAATCAAGAATTATTGGGTTTTGTTTATGTGAGTGGAAATGTCAATTTCTAAAAATGGGGAGGACTGGAGGAAAAATACATTTGGGGATCCAGAGCTCTGTTCTAGAAACACTGATTTTGAGATGTTTGTTGGAGCTGAATGGGTATCAGGTAGGCAGTTTGACATAGAAGTCTGATGCTAAGAGAGGTCAGGCTCTTAGATTTATTTGACAGTTGACCTCTCCCACCTTGAAAATCTCTTATCCCTTTGGTTTCTATGATACCACTCTTTCCTGGTCTTCTATATCCTACACTCTAATGTCTCTTCTTCTGCCCTTCCCATAAAGTTGGTATTCCCTAGGGAATCATTCTTGCCCCCTCTCTTTCTACTCTGTTTCTGGGCTGCTTATCCAAGTGAAGAACTTCCAACTACTCTTACATGGGGAATGGGGAGTCTTCAAAAAGGTTGTGCAAAAATTGCATTAGCTTTTCATTTCATTTCTCCACAAATCTATAATTTCAACCTAGATTTCTCCCGTGGGCCATAGATCTGTGTGTATCCAACTGCCTACAGGAAATTGCTACCTGGTTGACCAAAACACCTCTAACTTAATATGCTTGAAACTAAATTAACATTTAACAAAAAAAGTAAATAAACACCTTAAAAAAAATGAACAAAGGACTTGAACAGTTCAACAAAGAGGATATTCAAATGGCCAGCAAGCACTTGAAAAGATGCTCAATATCTTTAACCACTGTTGTTGTAAAGTGCTGTAAAGTTGGTTCTGACCCATAG